CTCTCTCTCTCTCTCTCTCTCTCTCTCTCTCTCTCTCTCTCTCTCTCTCTGTGTGTGTGTGTGTGTGTGTGTGTGTGTGCGTGTGTCTCTGTTTGTGCCTCTGTTTGTGTGTGTGTGACACAACAACAATCAACAAAGCTGCAACGAACGATACTCTTTGAGTGAGAGAGGAAACAATGGCTGGCACGCACGCAAGCAGGGCGCGGGGAGTGCGCAATGATGGGAGGTCAGGCAGCGGGAGCTTAAAATCTGAAGATGTTGGCGGGTAAAGCTCAGCGCGGGGGAACGTTGCCATGGGGGGAGGGAAGTGGGTAAAGCAGGTGAAGACGGGGAGTGAGAAAGGGAGAAGGAGAGCAGGGGAACAGGGAGGGAGGAGGGAAGGGGGGGCAGAGGGGAGAAGGGACGGAAGGGGAGGAGGAGGAAGGCAAGGGACAGCAGGGGAGAAGGCAGGAGGAGAACATAAAGGGGAAGGTACAAGAACAGGGGAGAAGGGAGAGATGGTGATGGGAGGAGGAAGGAGAGGCCGAAGAGGAGAATGGAGAGAATCGGGGGAAGGGGGGGGGGGGAGGAGGTAAGAAGAGGAGGAAGGGAACGAATGAGAGGGAAGCGTGGGAGAATAGGAGAAGGGGAGAAGGGGAGAAGGGGAGGAGGGAAGGAGGAGGAGGAGGAGGAAGATAAGGTAAGAGGGGGAAAAGGAGAAAGAGGAGGAGAAGATGAGAAGGAGACGGAATGTTTCGTTTTCTCGATGCACGTCAAAACGCAACTCCCAATCAATCATCATCCCTCCACCTTACCCTAATTCTTGCCCTGATCCTTAAAACCCTACACCCCCCCCCCCCCCTCATATGCCCCCTTATATGACATGACATTAATAGGCGGCGGCGTTCCTGCAAGAGAGCTTTGGCATGCCACGTGGAACGAGTGGGACCCTCAGCCTTTTGTTTTTTTTTTAAGAGCTTTTTTTTTAATTCAGTCTCAATTTGCAAATTCATTACTTTTTGTTTTTCTTTTCGTTGGGTCTCTCTGAAGTTGCCCAGATTCAATTGGAAAAAAAAAAAAAAAAAAAAAAAAAGGGCCATTTCAGATTGAATTGAAAGGAAAAGAAGTCAGGAAAAAGAAAATCAGACTCAAATTGCAAACTTCATTCTTCTTTTTTTTTTTTTCGGTCTGAAGACTCTCAAATTGCCAGATTCAATTCAACCAAAAAAAAAAAGTGAATTCGGTCATTTCAGCAGGAAAAAGAAAATCCGAGAGAAAAAAAAAACAGACGACGATGCCAGATGTGGGAAGGAGAGAGAACCAGGAGAGCGAGATACGGAAGGAGGGCTGAGGAGAAGGCAGGAGGAGAAAAAAGGCGGCGCAAAAGGATAATACGTATAATATTATCAAATTTAAGAAAATATATAATTTAATTTTATTCCAAGAAAATCGGAAAAAAAAAAAAGGAAACAGAGAAAGTCCGGCGCAAGAGCGGAGATCACTAGACGCTGCGTGCGTTCGTCTATTACGCGGAACTGGACACACATCAACGCTCAAAATCTCTCTCTCTCTCTCTCTCTCTCTCTCTCTCTCTCTCTCTCTCTCTCTCTCTCTCTCTCTCTCTTTTCAGCGCTGGCCCGAGAGACACGCGCAGAGACCGGGTGTAGAACGCATCCCTGCCCCATGACCAAACAAGAGATTTCCATTGGATGGGAACAAGCATCCCGATATGACGATCGGGATTGCAGTCCAGCCATTAAGAGCCGTGCTTGAACATTCATTACAATTAAAAAAATAAAAAAGACGCATTCCACTTCCCAGAGAAGAACAGGGGAGAGAGAGAGACCGGGGGGGGGGAGGAAACAGGAGGAAGGAGGGGGAGCAACAGCTTGCGACGAAGGAAAACTCACCACCTCTAGGATGGCACGCAACGTGGTGGGCCGAGATTGCAACTGAGGTCGAGCTGGGCCGTGCGGCTTGTCGACCACCCCTTACCAATTGGCTGCGCGGCTATGGCGTCTACTCCCCCGCAGATTTCCATGCGTTCCTACGCCCGGCCCAGCTCTTCGCTCTGCTTGCAGCTGCCCACATTAGACGTCAGTGCGTGGTAGCGGTCGAGGCATCGACCTGCTCCTGGCGGGGTAGGAGGGGGGGGGGGCAAGAGCTACGCTACAAGCCTGGATGGATTTCCTGCCGTGGGAAGTATTGACCGAGCCCCAGGACCGTTGCCGCCTATGCGACAGGCAAAGCAAGGTTGGGGACGGGGGTGGGCATGGGGCATGGGTGCATGGTCCATGGGGCATGGGTGCATGGGCCATGGGCCATGGGCGTTGGCCCCGCCAACATTCGCTGAACCACCCAAGAAAGGGCCTCGTTCCACTACCCTCGACTTGGAAAAATCTCAAGGGCCGCACCGTTCCATTACGCCCTTGAGAGTCGCTAATCACCATTAAAAGTGATCAACGTTCCCGCCGCAATAAACTGTTAGACCACGCCAAGCGTGGTCGCGCAGCCAGGGACTTTCCTTTATTCATGTGGACCCAGGGTTTGGGTATAGATTGTTTTTTTTGCTATGCCCAGAAGAGAGGTTGAGGATGTTGGGGGTGCTTTTTTTGTGGTTTTTCATTTTGCTTGGAGAGAGAGAATTTTAGTCAAATACATTCCAAGAAAAGTCCATTGCGTCCCAAGTCGCCCCAAGTCGCCCCAAGTCCCAGCATTTGTCCCAAAAGGTGCCAGTGCCAGTGTCAGTATGCTGTAAGGATAGCCAGAGTGTGAGGGCGCCCTAAGTTGCCCCAAGTCCCAGTGTATGTCCCAGAGGGTGTCAGTGTCAGTACATCGTAAGGATAGTCAGAGTGTGATTGTGCCCTCAGTTGCCCGAAGTCCCAGTCACCCAGTGTGAGTCATTTTGCTCGTTTGCTGAAGCTTGGCAATGTCCGTCTGTGTGTGTATGTCGGATGAGCAAAATCGGAATGAATCTTCAGCCAGAACATCGA